GCATAAGAAAAAGATGCATTTGGGAAAAAACCTTTTTGCACCTTCAGAAACTTCACTTTTTTTAATATAAATCTCTAATTAGAGGCTTTTGAGGTCAGGCAAGAGTTAAATTGAGATCCCTTTTTGGGGGGGCCTCTGAATTGGGAAAGGAGACCCAGCCCCCCCATAATTCGCCATAGCGGAGTCAGGGACTGGAGGGGAGCGGGAACCATGGGGGGGGACTGAGAAGGAAGGATTTGGGGGGGAGGAGACTGGAGACCCCCCCTTTGAGTTGCTCCTGAGGGGTCTTGAGGAAAGTCAGGTAGGAGGGCTGAATTTTGGGGGGAGAAGAGAAGTTTCAGGAAAGCAGGGAAGGTGGGGGGTTCAGGCGAGGGAGGGGCTGGGAGACCCCAGGATCATCAGTCCAGACACCCTCATTGTGCCCCCCCCCCATTTTCCCCCCCCCCCAGGAAGAGGGAGACCGAGGTATGGATCTTACTTTCGCTGCAGCCCTGAGAGTTTCTGGGTCTCTTCACCCCCCTCCCTCCATTTTTCGTGCCATTTTGGGGGACAAAGAGGCCCCACCCAGATCCAACGTTTCCTGCAGAGAGTAGGGCGGTCTGCTACACCATTTGCACTTCTGCCTACTTTTCTCCAGGGTGGGAGGATGGAGGGGGCACAACAGGAAGCTCCTCCCCTCCCCCTCTTTCCTACCCCTCCAGACCCCCAGCAACTCTCCCTCCCCCCCAGGGAGCCCCACTGGGACCGACACACCTCCCCCTCCTTCCTCCATGGGGTGTCTTGAGGGAGTGACAACCCTGCGGGGTTGGCCACTGCTGCCAAAGGAAGGAAAGGAGGTGGAGAGGGGCTGAGGAAGGCGCCCCCGGTGCCCCTTCCAGCTGGGCCCTCCAAAGGCCACCCCTCGGTCTCCTGCCGCAGGTCTCACCCTCCCTCTTCCTGCGTGGGTCCCTCCTCTGCTGGCGGCTGAGAGTGATGGGCCCTGCAGTCCCTCCTGATGGCCCTCCTCCTCCTCGCAGCCCATTTCTTGCATCAGACGAAGTCCGACTGCCACTTCTTCAACGGGACGCAGCGGGTGCGGTTCCTGGCCAGGTACTTCTACGACCGGCAGGAGTTTGTCCGCTTCAACAGCGACGTCGGGAGGTTCGTGGCCGTCACCCCGTTGGGGCAGCGCTCGGCCGACAATTGGAACCTCTGCCAGGACCTCCTGCAGTACGAGAGGGCCGCCGTGGACCGCTTCTGCCGAGAGGCCTACAGGGTGGGCAGCTACAGGGCAGACAAGACACGGCATGTGGTTGGCCGGAGAAGGGGGTCCGGGGGGGGGGGGAATGCCGGCCCCTCTGCTTTCATTCAACCCATTAAGG